AAAATCAATCCTTGCATGAAATTGTGTACAATATATATAGCAGTCCCAGTACACTATCACGTGGTGATTGCTAGCTCCATCATCGATTTTCACATGACCTTGGCACATTCTTGATCTCAGCCCTTTTCACCTACGGCTAAAATCGCAGATAGAAGTTCTTGTGGTCTCCATCATCACTTTCAATCTGTCTTTGCTAAAGTACTCCTGTATCTAACAGTCATTTACTGTACTATTTCATTTGTGGATAGGTTCAATTATATTACTAAACATCAAACTGCAACGATTTCAACATGGCTAAACACAATCCTATGGAACATGTACTAGAGCTTTATAAACAATTTCGAGATAGCGATTCTCCCTTTATCGTCGATGAAAAAAACAATATACGGTATAGTATTATGCAAGAAGAAGATATGGATGAAGCTATGAAAGTCATTGCTATCTCTTTTATTGAACAAAATGAAATTTATAAAAGTCGAGGTGTTACGGTCGAGCAGTATATCCTTGCTGCTAAATTTGAATGCCGATTGGCGATGGAAGATAAATTAGCAATCGTTGCTCGAGATATAGAAAATAATAAATTAGTTGGAGTAGGAATTGGTTATGTTTATAGTAAGGTAACTGAAGTGACAGCGGGCGAGAACGTTATTAATAACTATGGAGAAGCTATGGCTCCGATTATGGATTGTATGATGCAATTATATGAAGACGCAGAGAAAAAAGAATCCTTTGATCCAAAGAAAATGATCGTTATCGATGATGTTGCTTGCTTGAGAGGTGAAAAATATGCTAGTAAGGCTATTGGATTCTTGAGCGGTTTTTTAGTAGAAGCAATAAGTGCTCGACATGGTTATGACAAAATGATAACCACTATTTTCAATCCAATCATGCAAAAAGAGCTCTTGCAGTTGGCTATCGATTAATTTATTCTATCGATTTAAATGAATATACCTATAAAGATGAAAAAGTCTTTCTGGATTTGGTAGCAAAAGGCTACAAGGAAGTGCAAATCTTTATCAAGGACATAGGGAAAAATAATAAAAAATGAATACGATTCTCATATAGTTGAAAGGATGATTAACTAACAATAATATAATCATCTATATACATTAGTATTTTTCCTGCAGCAATATCAAAAGTACTTGTATCGATAAAGAAACGATGATAGATGATAATTATTCTCTCAGATGAAAAAATTGCTGGTATCAGTACATCCTATTTACTATCGGTAGAATTATTCAATCTTGGCATAGATCTGGAAAAATATACGGAAAGAAAATTGCTCTAATTGTAGATATAAGTCACAAATTACTTTCAATATTTTTCAACTCCAGAATGTTATAAGTTTTACTATATCTACTATGTCGATGACATATGTGTTTTGCATGAACATCGTGGCAAAGGTATTATTGGTATGAATTCATTAATTCTGCCAAGTTTGATCCAACATCGTGGTATCACGCAGATTTGTTCCATTTTATATCATCCTGCATCGGTAAGAACTGTTCAAAAAATGAAACGTGGAAGGCTTTTTCTGTTGTTGATACCGATAACTATACTTATCGCAATAAAAAGATCTTCAGTCAACTCTATGATAAACGCTATCGCGGAATTTTTTCATCTATCGGAAACTTAACCCTATCAGCATGCGGTGATAATCGTCAATAACCATTTTATTATGCGAATTTATTGCCACGAAGACAAATCATAATACTATAAATTTCTTGCAAGAATAAGATAAATATGCCAGAACTGGTATAAAACAGTTTTTTAATCAGCCACCAAATGGACTAGTGATAATAAAGAGTCCTATAAGGATGAAATTATAGGCACAATACTTGGACACACGTGAGTTTAATAACCAAGCTTAATCATACATGATAGGGTAAAACATTCTAATAGAGGTAATGATTATTTTTATTTCCTTAATGATCGTAAACATTAGCAATTTAATAAACATAATATCTATTTATTTTAATTAATATCAACTGGATTAAATTCACTCAACACTAATGGCAGGATCATAAATCAAATCATTTCACTATTGCCTCACTAAGAAATGTAGAAAGGTGATAATAGTCGATCTACGCATTGATGAATAGTTGTATTCTATCCAAATATTATTTTACTACTTGTATATGGACTAATAGGTTATAGATATTAGTACATATAGAATAGTGTGCACAATTTACTTGCATCGCTTCATAGGTCCATATTTTTTATTAATAAAGATTGCAAGCATTGGCAATACGTAAGACACTCAATGACTGACCTGTATCAACATCAAATAAATTAAAATTAATTAATAACTATCCTAAGTAAGGGCCGGAAATTCGAATAATTGTACATTTTTAAAATGAAGCAGAGTGAAAGTATTTGACTTTTGCTTGCTTAGATCATATCAAGCGCTGTTTACTAAAAAATATAAGTAGCTATTTTGATTATTTACAAGAGATCAAACAAGATCTATTCAGGGAAAAATTAACGTGAAATTGAACCGATATCAAAGCCAGGCTTAAGCTCATATCAAGGTCGATCTATATACATACTTTTTACGAAAATAAAATTTTCGTTGGTTATGTTGATACAGTTCCAATATTATAAGCTCACGGCAATTTTAATTTATTCTGTTTAATTATGATAGGATATTCATTTAGGCATGCAATTTACAGTATGTAAATCCTTTACTCATCATAGTGAAATCAAGATGTTTAGAAAATTTTTTGTCCGTAGTCAATATCCTTGGAGTAAGCTTCGATATCGTGGATCGCAACAATTGAAACGCAAAGTGTTTCACCTGCTGTGTGAAAATTTTGCAATTACCATTTGTTACAAATCTTCTTCTTTGTAATAAGAAACCGGGTCTTAAACACTATCTTCACTAGTACTTGTGTTCCCAACTAACTTAGGGACCTATCGTAGTTGAACTAACTCTCAGCTACACAAAAAAACTACTATTGAGTAATAGGTTAAAATACTTTACTTTATTTTCGTTAACCTTAGTCGTAAAATGTGCTAAAGAAAAACATAAGAATATTCTTAGCAATAATAGTCAAAAGATCCTGCAAATGACTAACTGAAACTGAGAAGCTAAGCTAGTACTCCGCTTTTTATAGTCTCGCCGATGGTACACTTGTGAATATTCTTGAAATAGCGGCTTACACTGTACAGTATACATATCCTTCATGCTAATCTTGGATAATATCTATAGCGAAATTGTACAATAGGTCTTCCAATTGTAACTACTGTCTAATTGTATCATTAATCCTTTCTCTTGTATTTGCCAATATTGTCTATTCGTAAAGTTATCCATGATGGTTATGACATTACATCATCTACAATTCTAGAATTTGCATAAGTATGAATACGCATAGGATTTGAATGTTCTAGTATAAGTTTTTGCAGTAATAGATGTATGATTAAGATTGATCTCTGATAGATCACGAACGTTAAATTGTTAATAAAAACAATGGTAAAATGCTCATCACCATGCTCAAAGTGTAAAATGAAAATATTTTTACTAGCTTCTCTACCCGTATTTGTAATTTAAGTATTTGTGAAATAAAATGATTCTATTCTGTAATCGGTTGAAATATCTATTGAAGAAGTAATGGGAGTACTGCAGCTGTTGAGCGAATTTGCCAATAGAATGAAGAAGTTTGGAACTGATTTAACTCCATTTTAAACTGCTCTCATTTAAGTAAAGGCTCAACCGTATACAAAGCCTGGACACTTTAGAGAAACAAAAGCAGAAAGTTCACACAAACATAATCAAATAGTTTGCTATACTACTCTAACCTTAAGTTAAGAATCATATTATTCTATTTACTATAAAACAGGGCTTTATATCTATCAGCGATAAAATTTCAAGTTTATAGTACGAATAGTGCAAATACACCATTTCATCCCTTCCGATTATTTTGTACAATTACTTTGTTAAACTTACAGATAAATCTATTTTACAGTATATTTACATCCTTTTATTATGATACTTTTAAAACACCTCGTTTCTACTTACAGTTATCTGAACTTACAATGAAAGTTTTATCGCAGCAAAAACTTTCTTAGAGTCTAATATCATCAGGTGGTCGTTATGAATTCAACTACATCTCTGCCGGAAATTTCGATAACAAAATTCAATCAAATCCAAAGTAATCTATAGTTTTGATGCATCAATATATGTTATTGTTAATAGGATAACACTGTTAAAGTTGGCAGTTATCTAAATAAAGATGTGCGAAATAAGAGAAAACATTACTAACAGTCAGTTTTATGCTGCTGTATGTTAAGAAGATAATCTAGTAATACCATCGTAAAATCAATCTATTATTATAATCATTCTTGATGAAAGTCATACAAAAATAAGAAGTATAATCTTAACGCTTTCTTAATCATTAAGATACGATCACGGATAGCAGATTAAGAAAATAAAAAGCCTCAATAAGAATTCTATCTATTAGAAATGATGATTATAATTGAATCCAACAATTTGAGTATCATTATCTATTTATGCAATTCAACAGTAGGAGTACATAAATATCAGATTGATGAGATTTTTCTGTAGCTGGCAATATCGATGATATGTATCAGATTGTATGGATAGGTAAGGTACTACTATATCATGATGGATCACCGACAGCTGCTAGATAATTCTGTAAACCCAATAACACTGCTGAACAGTACAGTACGATAGGAGGCAATGCTAATTAGTTTTAGTTAATTATTAGAACTTAATCCTTTTATCACGTGATGATGGCGTGCCCATTATCCAGAAAGACTAAATTAATTACCCGTATTAATTGACAGAGTAAACCAAAACGTTTGGGATAAATTACACAATCCTCTTTGGTTACAACTGGCTAATTTGATTGATTTGATTCTTTTCATAATTGAATCATTCAATCCATTCCTACCGGTTCTCGTCTAAAGTTCTACCCTTCATCAGCTGAAATAATACTGAAATTTTCTCCTTATATTACCCTTGAACATTAATGAATACGATGAGCTATCACAATAACGTCCAGTGGTGTTTATCGTTGGGTAAAAAGTTTCATCAAGATAATTTAACTGAAATTTTCGATAGTAAAAATAATATTAAGTATCGCTTAATTAAGCCATGGGACATTGAAAAAGCTGCAGATATTTGTGCACAATGTTACGCTGAGAATAACAGGATGTTTCAAGTATTGGACATAACCAAAGAAGACTATCTACCTACTGCAATTGAAGTATTTAAGACAGCATTGGAAGAAGGTATAGGGCTAATTTCTACGACTAACGAAGGGAAAATAGTGGGCGCAGGTGCTGCATATTTATTGTCATCGGCATTATTCGATCTTGGTCTCGATCTGGAAAAAATATATGGAAAGAAAATTGCTCCTATTGTAGATGTGAGCCACACTTTATTTAAAAATTTTCCTCCTAAAAAATATGGTAAATATAATCAGATCTACTATATCGATGATGTATGTGTTTCGTCTGGATATCACGGTAAAGGTATAGGTATCATGAATTCGTTAATTCTTCAAAGCTTAATCCAACGTCGCGGTATAAACCAGGTTTGTTCCATTTCCTATCATCCTGCAATGGCAAGATCAGTAAGTCAAATGCAAATGTGGAAGACGGTTTCTATCCTTGATATCCGTGACTATACGTATCAGAATAAAAAGATCTTCAGCCAGCTGTATGAAGAAGGTTATCGTGAAATTTCGTTGGTTCTAAGCAATTTCACCTCTAGCAAACTGTAATACTGGTCTTAATAATAAATTTATGGTCGAAAGCTATTGCAAGACGAATCTTACTGGGATTATTCCAAGAATAGAATAAATATAGTAGAAATAATTACGAAAAGTTGCAATAATAGACCTTTAATAGAGTGGTAATACAGGCAGTGGTAAACCACCTTCTAATTTTAAATTCATTTATACAACGATTTAACATGCATAAATTCAATAGTCAAAGTTATTTCATGAAAATATATATAAATAAAAGAGGCAGATATCTTTTCTGTTTTCGGTTGTATTGAATGACGAATAAAAGCATTGGCAATCAATAAGATACTGCATTGCTTACTGAAATAAACATCAAGTAGATAAATATTGCTATTCTTGGTAAGGACCTAAAAATCGATTATTTTCACTTTTTCATCATGAAAATAAAGCAGAACGAAAGTATTTGACCTTTGCTAGCTTAAATCATATTAAATACTGTTCACTAATGAGTACAAACAACTATTTTGATCGCTGACAAAAGATTGAACAAGGTCTATCTAGGTAAAATTAACGTGATATTGAAATGATATCATAGCCAGGCGGAAGCTTATATAGAGGCTAATCCGTATACTACTCGTTCATACTGCATTACGATATATCACTTTTATTCAAAATACTAGATATGAGAATGTTGAGAAAGTTCCTGCTCTTAAAAGAATATTAATTTTTATAGCTATGAAGATGGGAAAATCTTTATCCATAGTAGTGCTCAAGATCAGACGAAAATTTCTGATATTCTTAGAAAATAGACTAGTTGCAAGCTTTAGCATTAATATACTGTATATGTATGGCCAACTAATGGATCCAAGAAATCGATTTTTAATTATTGGTGCAATCAAGACCTCCACATACTTTTTCAGCCTTGTTTTCAAACAATATTCTAGCAATGCACTTTGGTCAATTTTATTATAACTATTGCAATCAATACAAATGTTTTATCTACTCATGAAAGTCTTATAATCGTAGTCACTTTTAATACTAATCTTGGATATCACCATTATTACATAGAAATTTTGTAGAATAGGACTTTAAATTATGATTACTTTATGATGCATTAATTTACTCCATCTCTTCTATTTACGAAATATCATTAAGTAATAAAATAAGCGAAGATTCAAATATCATATTCATAGTGATCGGAAACAGGTACAGTAGGACAATTTCCATTTACTGTAAACCAATATAGATGTAAACAGCTATACGCAAGTATATAACGCTAGCAGTTGTTGGAGAGCTCTAAATATAGAGCAGCTCGATACAGATAACTTCATAGCTGTATATCAATGGATTTACACAGCCACTATTCCAGTTCATTGTCAACCTATATAGATAGTTTTTTATACCACTAGTACAGTAATTGTTGAGAAGCTTTATGTGTCAAGCACTTAGATATTATAGTTCTACGATAGAGTTATTAATAACATTTACCGTTCATTATGAACAGAGGCGGACAGTTAGTCATAACTAATCATGAAGATCACTCATATATGTATCATCAGTTTAAGATCCTTTAGTCAATTCAATCTGTACAATGAAGAGGATAAATAGTATTCCATCTAAATTGTTGCCTTTTATTCGTAATCTATCAAAATATGTCAGATCTATTGATTCCAACTGCAATTTTAGTTTATCTACTACATCAGTCATGTAGCCTCATCAATAATTAGACCTTAGTACTTGTCTACTGATTGAACTGACCGACGTGTAGCAGTCACTGTTGGTTTGTATTAGAAATTTGAAAGAAATATTATAAAATAATACTCCAGTAAAAATTAATAAAAACATTAAAAGCCAATTGTTCAAGGTTGTAATGATCTGCTTATGTGAAATTTGAGCCAAGTTTAATGTCAATGCCTTGTAAATTTTTAAGACCTAATTAAAGGTTGCATCTAAGCTGAACAGCTTTTAACCAGTATAGAGAGCCCAACGCGTCCCTCAAATAGTGTTACTATGTATAATTTGATCGATAGGAACTATTGTCAATCACGTGATGTTATCAAAGTAAACGATCATTATCTCTATATTATTATTCAATCACGTACCAACAGCATAAATTTCCAAACTGCTTAATGCTAATACAAGTGTGCTTTGACTAAATTTCTTGTTGACTGATCTTATGGAGGGTTCAAACTATTAGATTATTATCAAAATTTATTCGTTATCGACCAAGGAATAAATCCTATCTAACGGAATACCATCATCATACGTTTATAATCCTTATCGAACTATGACAGGCTATCAAGATAATGTGCAATGGAGTTTATCACTAGCTAAAAAATTCCATGATGAGAATCTAACGGAAATTTACGATCCGAAAAATGATATTAAATATCAAATGATGAAGCCTTGGGACATCCAGCAAGCTGCAGAGATTATGTCACAAGCTTATAGCCAAGATAATATGTTTTTCAAATTAATGGGTGTGAGTAAAGCAGATTATCTACCTAGCGCATTATTAAGCTATAAACAGGCAATGGAAGATAATATGGGAATGGTCGCTAAAACTAGAGATGGAGTTTTGGTCGGCGCTAGTGGAGCTTACTTAGTAGATACAGCTATAGCTGAAGTCAAGGTAAACTTGGAAGAGTACTATGGAAAAAAAGTAGCCCCTATCATGGATATGAGTCGCATTTTGTTTCAAAATTTTTCAGTCAAAGATTACGATGATCCCAGTCGTATCATTTATATAGATGATACATGTGCTTTATCTCAGTACCGTGGCAAGGGCATCAGCCTGATGCTATCGTTACTATTGCAGAGTATCTGTCAGCGTCGCAGTTTTACTCATGTATGTTCTATCGCATATCATCCAGCTTTGGCAAGAAACGTAGAACATATGCCTGGTTGGAAGAAAATCTCTAGTGTCAATGTTAACAATTATAGCTACCGAAATGAAAAAATATTTGCTCCACTGTATAATCAAGGCTATCGTGATGTTACTCTGTTCATTAAGAAATTTATACCAAGTAAGATATAGCACTAGCTAAGAATGGTAACTATAGATTAACCTTTATGAAGGGTTGTAAAACAACGAGCAACTTTCTTGTTCAAAATATTTATCGAATCGAAAAAGATTGATACAAGATGTATATCTGATGAGTTTGTCTACAAGTTACCTGAATTCAATAAAGCATTTTGTAAGGAAATTTTGATATTATGAATGAATAATTAAACTAGGATACCCCAATTGATTGCTGATGCATGGTATATACATGTATTATAAGATATTTTATAAAATAAATGTTGTAAAAATGGCTTAGAAGGCTTGTAAATCATTATTGCTATACAACCCTTTAAAAAAGAACGACCGTATCTTAAATAAGCGGTATTTCATCCAAACCAGCCAAGAATAATTGGTTAGCATGATTGCTTCAGTTAGCGATTTTGTGATCATTACCGTTATATAATCCAACATACCCAAAAACTAAATCATTCCAAATTAAAAATTATTTACTATGAAAGTCTTCAAAAGCAATATCAGGACAGCGATTATGAGCAGTTTCTATTTTTCTGTGTGGAGAGTATCGCTATATATTAGATTGTATTAAAGTATTAACCATCAAATAGACAATGCAGTTGATAGTTTTCGCCTCAAGGAGCACAGAATCGAAAATAGCTTTCAATTTTTGCGTTATGCAACAGTGATTCAAAGTTGCACTTTATTTTGTAAGATCGAAAAGGTAGCTATTTATTTCTAGATGATGTTGACACTATCGATCATGACCATTTTCCTACGATACTTCAATTGTAAATTAGGTAGAGCAATCAATTACAGATATAACATTAGACTTTATTGAAAGTTGAAGTACTCGTTATTATGGCGTTAAAATAGTTTATCTCGACATAGGCTAGATTCTGTTGACATAGATTGTTTCAATTTATTGTATAAATAACCCACAGCTATGCATGCTTAGCAGGGAGCTATTATGGCAGGGTCTATTTGGTACGTTCTAATTACTGAATATGCCTTATGTGCGATATGATCGACAATAAGGTGTTAATATAATTGATTTCTATTTCATATATAGCTTGTAATTGCTAGTGTTGTCTATCTCATTTTTATCGCTACTTCCGCAACAGCTCAGTTGTTTTTCAGCAACGGTTAAAGAAGTTATTTTCTGTCTTTTTCCAAAAATAATGCAATGAAAAGCCTATCTTACTACGAAAGCATCATGTATGAACCTCCATAATAGCTAGTAAGTTCTCTCTTATCGATTGATCCAATCTTTAGTCATAACTAATCTATCGCAAAACGTTATTGAGTGAACCACCAGACATAAATGTTGTACAATGCATACTTCGCTGTCTATTGTGGACAAATTGGCTTCATTAAAGCTCTCTAGTTGGCCTTGTGTAATACGTAAGATTCAAATTAAAGAATTGCGAGCATTTTAAGTTATAAGTTCCTTCAAATGGATAATTGATACGCTTCTAACAATTTTAAGATCTTAATTATTAACTATCTAAAATTATGCTTGACGATCTGCTATGCATCGCTATATGTCAGATTGATACATTTTAACCTTGAACTATATAATTGAAAATTATATGAAATCTAGTTCCATAATCAATATTTGACACAAATTAATATGTAGTTCTTTTAATTAGGTAGGCATCGTTGGCGACATCAATTTATCAGTATGTTTACAAAAACGAATGCTAGCTCTTTAAATTAGTTCAGTATAACATCATAAACAACGGATACTATTAGTAAACAATCGCAAAGCCTAGATTTTTATTCTCTGATTCAGGTCCATAATGCAATATACGCAAGTTTAAATCAAATTTAGTGGCCAAAAATGAAGCATGAAAGCAGTACCTCTTAAAATTACTTCATTATTACAATGTGCATACGTGTTTACTAAAAAGTCTCTTTTGTACGTTACTGAATATTAGTGCTATTAAAGATGAGTTTACTTGATTTTGTTTATTGCTAGCTTGAAAGATGGCAATTCATCAATGTATTCTTGGAATATGACATATAACATATTCTGGCCAAATATGATATAAACAAGATCTCTAACCTTCACTAATACGGTACCTTAAAAATTTACTTCAATATTACTATAAATTACAAAACTTAATACGTTCTTTGGTGCACATTTAATATAATGACAGCTCCAAGAGTATATTAAGTCTTTTTAAGTATGTGTAAGAATAACGAGTTATTTAACTCCAAATTGTCTACTAGGGCATTCAAGACAACAATTAACCCAATTGTAATTATTGCAAGGTCAATAAGCTATGCTATTCAAATGTTGAAATTGACAAAGATTTAACGAATAAAGAGTATACTTCGTGCATCAGTTAAATAAACTAAATTTAAATAACTATGGTTACGATCGTTATTCTTGGTGGCTAATTATAATGCCAATTCGACAATCATTATGATTAGAAATTATATTTCTAGAAAGTTTAAGTACTAATTTCGAATATCTATCGTCCTATGTGGTAGCATAAAATCATAAGCACCTAATAACTTTCTCACAGAACTCTTCTTTCTAATAGATTGACCAATTTTACATGCGAGAGAGATCATTGCACAGAGGACAAAAATAATCTAGATATGAAATAAATGCAAGCTAGCGCTCTATCAGTAGATATCAATATTAAAATGGGATCTGAAACTGCATGAAATCAATCGGCCATATTTATAAGAATAGTGCCTATTCCTCTTCTATTCGATCAGTAATGAAAAGATTAATGGCGTGTAAAGTAACATAATTTTAACTTTACCTATATTTTTCTTCTTTAATCTAGTAAATATATTCAATCGCTTGCCATTATTTTAAGCTACTGTACTCTTCCATACGCCTTTCTGTACTAATATTGTAATTACTACACTATTACTATATATACATATTATAAGATATTTTGTTGAATGTGAACAACTTTGCTATATCAACATAAACCTAGAGCTACGGCTACAACTACTTTTTACTTCATAACGACAATCTCTTATGTACAGAAACTTTTCTTTCTTTCAATAATAAGAATAGCAACACCTTAGTAATGCTGAGTAAGCACTCTATCGCAATTAATAGTAGGAATAAAATGCAGCCTAATCGTAAAATATTTACTTGGGTAATGCAAAGTAGTTTATCATTTAAGAAATTAAAGTGCAAGATCTGTAAACTGTATCCACACAAATCCTACGTCAAGACAGATCTTAAAGAATCGATTATACTCTTATAACATAATTATACAAATTAAATGCATTAAATTTAAAACATATGGTTATAGGTCTCTCATATTGGCCATTCAATCACTATACCAGTTAAAGAAAAGTAGACAATGAATAATAAACTAAGGGGCATAGCCAGACATCACGTGAAAACCATCTCAACATATCAATTATTATTCTTAAGTTCGTTTTATTTGTCCGCGATAGAGTTAGTAAGTTCAAATTTCCCAATAAGCAACTTACTACTCGATAATAAATGATGTACTTAAGTCATCTGGATGATATACATTATATGTATGTTATCAACTGAAATTTAAATTTGAATATTTCTGACTAGCTGGACTGCATTATTATATTCTTCTCATCTCTCTTTATTTGAAGATGTCGGCTAATTCTCATAATCATGTCCAATGGTGCTTTTCATTAGCTAAAACATTTCACGATGAGAATTTAACGGAAATTTTCGATCCTAAACACGATATAAAATATCAACTAATGGAAGCATCCGATACTGTACAAGCTGCAGAAATTTTGGCTCATACCTATAGTCAAGAAAACATGTTTTTTAAAGCCATAAGTTTAAGTAAAGAAGATTATCAACCTGTAGCATTATCACGCTTCAATGAAGCAGTAAAAAATAATGTTGCCATAGTCGCTAAAAGTAGTGATGGGGACGTGGCCGGTGTTACTGGAGCTTATTTATTTAGCACAGCCATAGCTGAAGTATGTACAGACTTGGAGGACTTGTATGGAAAAAAGGTTGCCCCTATCATGGATATAACACGTCTATTGCTTGAAAACTTCTCTGCGAAAGACTATGATGACCCTAATCATATCCTTTATATCGATGGTACATGTGTTTCTTCACAGTACCGCGGTAAATGTATTAGCTTAATGCTACTATTATTGCTACAAAGTCTAGGACAACGTCAAGGTTATAGCCATGTCTGTTCTGTTTTATACCATCCGGCGTTAACAAGAAATGTTGAACGTATGCCTGATTGGAAGAAAATTCGTACTATTGATATTCGTGATTACAGCTACCAAAATAAAAACATCTTTAGCCAACTCTATAACCAGAGCTATCGGGAAGTATCTTTATTTTTAAGGAAATATACGCCAGCAACCAGTAATTATAATTATAATCTAAGATATTATTAAAGCCTATAAGGTAGTTCAGGTTCGTAACTTTACCTATACTTAGTGCAGGATACTTACACACCAATGACGATAGGTTTTGGTGACAGGGAACTATTCCTATTTATTAAAGTAGCCCTATTTACATTTATAGTAATCATGATAGCAGCAATTCAAGGTTTATCTTCTATATTTTAATATCGATAGCTATTGGATTGCTGTTGAAGCGAAATTTTTTAAAGCGATTCTATTAGATTCGCCGTTAAATTGTTAATAAAACTGTATTTACTAACTGATGATTGTAAATTAACAATTTGCCAATGTTTTTTAATTTTCACACCTAATTATTTAACCATCTCGTATAAACATGGAATATGTTGATCTAAGATTAGGTCTACTGTGAAGTACAGAGCATTATTATAATTCCGTAATTAAAATCTACAGGGAAAGGTAATACTTGTCGGAATTATGGTACTTAGTAAAATTACGACATTTGATGATCTACTATCCGCTATTACCATTAGGATTGCAATAAGTGCCAGTTTATTTTATTAATATACTTAAACCATAATTAATGATAAATAACAAGATATGACTGATCTTATATGTAATATTTTATTTTCGGAAAAGAAAAATAAAATTCGTGGTTGGATAAAGTAAATATTACATTCTGTATTGTTTTCAATTGGTCATATTAAGCCATAATGATCGATAACATAACGATATAAAACTAACAAACAATCGTGTAGAAGTAGAATATATAAAATTTCATAGTTTTTCCAGCTGTCATTTTTGTTCCTTATTAAATCGATCGTACTGCAAAACGCATAGTTACAAACCAGCTTCATGACGAAGATAACGTAAAACAAATCTCTAAATTAATATAGTCTCCGGGATTCAGTATCCCTTAACTATCTCACAAGAATATAAACGCCTTTGCTTCTACGTTAAACAACTATAGAACTCTTCTTTTATTTAACTATCTACATAGCTTATATACCCTTCGGCAGCTGCTATCATGCATGAGTCATAATAGTTCATAAAATTTAGTTCATATTGGACAGCTAAATTAATACGGAAAATTATTCATAATCTTAGATATCTACTGAACGATTATAGATAATTAGATTACAGTATGTCTATGCACAGAATTATTTATAATATCATCTATAACTGAATATCTTCAGGATATTATCACAAGCGTTACAAGACATAACGCTATAATCAATTAACATTGGTTACCGTATGTGAACTCCAACTACAGAAAAGCACAATTTACTTTAACAAAATGATAACTACTGTAGTTCTTACTGTAAGTCATTATTAGTTATTTCCATAAATAAATGCTAACCACTAAATTTAGTTATTTACTCTTCACTGTGGTTCGTGCTATGACAACCCACTCCAACGGCAACTCTTGTTAGTTACATTTGAGTGACTAATGATACATTTATCCCTATAATCAGATCAAAATTAGAAAAATAGAAGTTTATTCTACGCATTCATTACTAACGTTATCAGCACAAGCATATAAAGGAAATAAAACAAGTTGACTAAGCTACAAGACCTTGCTAACTATTACCGCTACAATATTTTCATTGCAACCATGAAAAACCTGTCATCATTTATTCCTTACAAATATAACCCCACATGTTTATTGGGTTGTCCGTGCTCTTAAGAACAACACCTCCAGACTAAATTACCGCTACTATTTAGTTTGTACACAGTTTTTAATAATATACTTATCTCGACTAATTAAAAGCTACTGTAGTATTTTAGCAATGGCAATAAGAAAAACTACGACATAATGTCAAATAACGTTGGCATTAGTACCAAATGTACAATGTTAACAGGCTCATCTCTCAGATAAACACAAAGGAACTAAACAGGATTAATTAAAAACGGATTACGACAAGATCATTTTCATACTTGCGCGATTAGCATAACTATAGTAATATCTTTCTGAGCTAGTAATCACTAATTTAAATTATTTAACCTTAACTACTCACATAAATTATAATTCCATATACTGTATAAACGAAATGATGTCAAGAAAGTAGTACAGCTCTTAGCATAATTAATTAATAAAACAGTATAATTATCTTAGGTGCAAAAATCCGGTGAAATAAGCTGATTGACTAATTTAGTACTAAGCTTTAAACAGAGAAAGGTCTGAGGTATTTACCATGTGAAAAGGTTTACACTTATGAACCGTAAATAACAGGAACACTATCGAAGTAATTTCAAATATGCATCTGTCACTGCGATTTGCAATAGTACGGGAAAATATAAAATGAATAACAACTCATCAGTCAAATTTGTAAAGAATGGTAAAAATAATTTTTAGGATAGGTAATATTAAAACACTACACCAAGTTTTTATCGAAACCTTTGAGTAACTGATGAATCGGAGCCTGAATACATCTTAAATTTTCACGACCAAGTAATGTATTAGCATACTGTAAACTACTATACAAGGGATTTATATTTCAAGACAATATTTAGTCAAAAATGGATAAATGTTACACGCATAATATAAACAATATTTTAGAAATGTTTTCATTCATCGTATTCGTGAGTCAAAAATTGGCACACAAATACTACTCTCCTTCTCTTCATTTGTTCTAACGCCCTACTTGAGATTTGTTTCTTTCTTATAATAGGTTTTAATAAAATTTCACCGAATATCGTTGCTATAAAATGCGAATATTTTAGTATGATATATATATCAGAAGATGCATTCGTAATTCACAAATAGGCAGTCAAAATAAACCTTGTCGGTATTAGTACCTAAAGTTTTGGCATCAAGCTTATTCTTGCCTATTTTCAATAGCAACTTGCGCAAGAAGGCACATACGTATTTAAAGGTATTACGATGACTTGTGGGTATTTGTTGTAGTATCTGCAAGAATTACGTATTCGGTACATTAAAACGATAGTCTAATATTTAAACAGTTGTTAGAGTTCGATTTGAATTGCGGCTACTACCTGTTTACATGCTATAAAGTTGTTACAGTTATCTATGCATTTCTGAAAGAAGGAATGTGGGATCACCGGCTGTGGAAATGCATCCAGGAATTCGAGCAAGCAATTTGCTACTGAAAATGCGCTAAATTCTTTCGTAATGTAAAGGATTCTACATAACATCATATTACAATTACGATAATAACATTACAACTGGATCGAATTTTAACAAATATGCAAGTTGCCGAGTTTGAGAAATGGATACTTTCATCTTGAGGAAACGAAAGAGTATCCATTGCATCACGAACATGCATCATTTCAGTTTCTAAACCCGTTTCGGTAAATATTCCTTCCTATGTAAATGTGTTTTTATCAGTAAAAATAACTTAGATACAATACAATCTAAATTTACGGATACAAATAATTGCCTATGTTGCACCGTTAATAGCCTTACTTTTTCCGTGCAATACACATTTAAATAATCCATCAGTAGCCATAATTCTTTAGGAATTTCTAATGGAGTTACATTTCTGTCTGGATGAGCAATCTTTTCAAACATTTGCTTTGTATTAAGTTTATCTACCGTCTTCCCATCAGGCTTTCGAATTTTAAGGAAGAAATATAGTACAAAATATTATTAAGGATTTTTATATAATTTAAAAATGATACCCACTTACCGAATCCAATAAGTCACTTATAGGAATCTCGCGTATACCGCCAGGTATGTACACTAATGTCTCAATTGCAACACCAAAACAACTAGGTAGATAGTTACCCGTAATGGATACCTAATTTAGAATGAATACTTTTAGATCGTAACATCAAATTGCCTAGAAAGACAATCGTAGTACAATACATACAAAATGCTCTTTTCCGTCGTCGAGGTGTAAAATCAAAATGTCTTCTAATTTATCTTCACCAGTATTTAACTTTGTGGCAGTTTCACTAGTTACTTTCATGATCAAACTTATTTCGGCCGATTTACCTACATTTTAAAACCGATATCGCTCATAAAATGGACAAGTTAGGGAATGCCTTATTTAATGCCATTAAATATCTAGATTACCTTTCATGATGTTTCCAGATGCAGGCTTAATTTCTAACCATGGTTTGCAATGGTTTGACTCGCCAGGCTTAGGGTTAAAAGAGTACCTTATAGGAATCTATATAATCGCATACAGGTGTTAAAAAACTTTGGCAATTGATTAATATACGGTTCGTAACCACTAATTAAGTTTCTGCTATAAAAAAAATTACGAACTAATAAGCTATGGTGGTCAGTATTATTACCTTTCCAGTGTTGACAACATTCAACGTTTCAGTCTTTGAGACATTATATTTTATATCGCCGAAATTGAACTGAAAGTGGTAAAAGGGAATTACGAAAAATTAATTATGAACGAACCTATCACCTTACATAAGAGTTCAATGAGTACGTGATCGTATATTTACTTCTTGTTGGCTAAGCGAAATCTGAGGTAAATGTTCATTTTCATTTTTATCTAAATCTCGAATAACATCATGTAGGATTTCTTGCTGCTTTTCTTTATTAATGACTTTAATCTAGATAATAGGGCAGGTATGCAAACTCAATATCTACAGAAACACTAATTCTAGTTACGTGCATATAAGAAACGAGCTAATATCATAGTTTACTAACAAATACGTTAAAACTTGCAGACACTGGCTTATGATCGCTACATTTCAAAGACGGATGACTGCGATAATCGACAAAGAGAACGTTTGTAGCTTTCCATAAAATGCGATCGCACCAAGCAGGAGCTCGACACTTTTCACTGTAAATATTTTTATTAAGTAAAAACAGTAAATAACTGTTTCGGCTCGGTTAGCTATAACAAATAAAGTGTACGTGGTTCACCTTGTATCCCAATTATTAGTACCAGGGTCATACTTATATGTTGGAATGAATTTTATTGGACCTTCTATAAAGTTTTGGAAAACTTTTCGCTGGCTCATTTGTTGGTTAAGCTAACGTTGCAAATACGCGTAAAACATTATTAAATTTCAAAAATATACTATACTGGAAAAAAGACTACACGTATCAATAATGCATCTTTAAATTAAGCTATAAAGGCATAGCTGTTATTGCTCCATGCATTGCTGCACAATTGGTTATTGATTTATTTTCAACACATGCAAATTATTTGGTAGCTTAACGCTTATACCTGATCGAACTTGAAGAGATCATCTAAAAGTCCGCTTTTAATCATATCCTTAACTATAGCTTCATTTCCCGCTATTCGATAATTTAAATCTCCAAACCAGAACGTGGTCCTAATAATAAAGGAATCACACATTTATTAAAAAGTTTCAAATTTTAAGTTTGCAAACATCAATCTGAATATGACATGTGGTCATTAAATTAACAATTCATTATATTATTGATATGCATACTCATGATCTAGAACCGAGAGAGGCTGACTTGAGCGACTAAAAAGTTTAGAACTGACTTCTTTAAAATCTTGATTACGTTTCTCAATTTCCTCAGCGTGAGCAGCAAGATGAGAATTGACAAAGCACATTGTAGTAAGGTGCAACTTAAATCGTACTGCTACACCTCCTTTATTACCCTAATTTGATAACTTCGTAAGTTAGGCTGTAAATGTGTCCTGGTAAATGTATGATTACAGCTTTAACTAGTTTCTATGCATATTTGTAGTTGCATTTAAACACAAAAACTTCTTTAGAATATTACTTGAGACCGGACATTAACACATACTAAAGATTTTAACATTTCCTATTAATGATAGATACAAACCATCATTCCCATGATGCCGGTACCAACGTGATCAGCATGAATTTCAGTTATAAATTCTCGAAGATTGGATTTTGCATATACTAATAGTAACATTCCCACTAATCTTATACCTCGTACCTGACGGCAAGAAGAAAATCGATAATGTTATGAATATTATAATTAATTAACCTACCGTGCTAAATTCTGTCCAACAAACCTTGCACATGTCGATAGGCAAATGCTTGTCAACAATTTTCACCCATTCCTCAGCTCTACTCGATTCTTTTAATTGTAGCAAAGCTTCGGCACTAAGATCAAGTTCTTGGAAACTGCATCATGAAATACACGTACATCACTTTCAAAACATTAGCAAGATTATAACTATTATTCCGCTTCTCACAGTCATAAAAAATTTAATGGTTATGAAAACACTAATTAAACGTAACATCAAAATTGGTGATTGTTTCTTTATAGGAAAAAATTATTCTGATTACAAAATACAAACAATAAAATTTTCATATACCCAATAGCAATAATATCTGAATTGCCGTCTTCTTTCCTTAGCCACTCAGAAATGTCTTCCGAAGTCAGCTGTCCATTGACATTCCATGTGCAAGCTGTAACCCTAAGTATAAATCATGCATTACGTTACCAAAGTATAACAGAGGTATTATGTTGAGACATTTTTATCTTACCTTATTCTTTCATAAGCTGTATATTGATCTTCATACTCTTGCATCCGAAGCCCTATTCGAGGATCTCTTAACAATGCTGATTCTGCGTAGTTATCCTGAACACCAGCTGGAAAATCGGATTGCAAAACTTTTCGAGCCGTGCTTTCATTGGGGCCAATCAGGCTTTCAGTTTCGTTAACAGTGGAAGCAAGCGAGCTAGTTTCAGAACTAGCTCCAGATAAAACTATTAGTAATTCATCTTGACTGCTACCGGGATCAAACGTATTGATTGAAACTACAAATGAAATAATCAATTACACATTAAGCTTCGATATTGAACGAGCTAAAAATAGGTCCATTTCTGTTCTCTGTAAATTTTACAATAGATATTTATACCTGCAGAGTTTGTAGCTGCAGATTCAGGTTGACTTTCTTTGATTGTAAGCAAGTACGATCGAATCCATTTGGATGAACTTTGAGAACTGCCTAAAGTAGTTTGCGATACTAGAAGACAACAGTATAATTACAATTCATTAAGGCGTCAAACTAAACTTGAAACTAAATTTCTATTTATTATTCATCCTTCATTTAGTATTGCTTCAGTTAAATACAAATAGAGCTAACCAATAGTCGCTTTAGTAACTTCTTCCAGAAAATTTACAACAGAAACGGATGACGGAATATTGACAAGCATTTCGTCATTATCCTGGCCGATAAATCGGAGCTTCTTACTATCGTCACCTTCTAAAATGTAGACGAAGGTGTTTAAAGAAGTGCATAATATTAATACTTCTGTTATTGCAAGCGTAAATATCGATGAACTAGAAATGCCGTAGAACAGTTCAACGTTTTAATTTAATAAAATTACAAGTTGTACACGGAAATAGCAAGATCTGCTTCACTAAATATAGCCTTAAATGCATCAAGTTCTATTGCTTACCCGCGTCAAAATTGATTAATGGTGTTTCTGCAAAATGAATCGAGCAGGAAATGGTCAATACACAGTAAAATGATTTCACGCAATAAAAAAATTGTATTAAAAAACGGCAGGCTTGATCTTGGTAAGATTTAGGTAATGTATTCTGTATTAACTGCAAGTAAATTAGTTTCATAGGTTTTGCAACCACATGATTCGTACTGCATTACTTATTCTGCAGTAAAGCAGCTTGTTGATATGAGCTGCCATGATGCATAATGCATGCAATTCTACTGAACATGATAAACTGAATAAGAGATATCGCAACAGTATCAACATATCCTCAGTGACAGGCTATGCACTTGATTATACCACAGTGAATCATTACATTTGTTACATTATCGGAAATGGCAGCAAGAACTACTTTCCATGCACTGGTGATTAATGTCAGTTTCGTTAACTATCTGACATCACGTTATTTTAACTTAAGAAAGCAAGGTAATTGAAGTAGATTAGCAACCACTAGTTTGTTTGTGTAATAAATAAAGCGTACAATTCTGCATAACATTGTCATTAATCTTCAAGTAATTTTATTGCATTAAGATATACCATCTTGTACTTTAAAAGGGCCATTAATCGCCATAGAAGCAATAACATGCGGATGATCACTATTAGAGGTGTCCATAACTATAATGCTAAAATTTTAAATAAGAAATTTTTTATGCAATTGATGAAGCTGGTCAGTATCTTTATAGTGCAGTGTTAAACATGGCATAAAACTTTAATTGCATTTGTTAATGAAATCAACTAGTCCCTGTTTGTTGCAATAAGGTCTTAAGAAAGCGCAGTAGTGAGCATCAAAACATTCAATCCACTACAACATACATTAAATTTTAAGTCATCATCACGTTCACTACGGAGATGACTATGATACTGTACACTGTATAGTCAATATTATTTAATAAGCAGTAATTACGCTATTATCATTATGAAAGTAGAACAAACATTAAGCCAGTTTCAATCACTATCATAATTAAATTAACTACAATATCGATCGGTCTACACTGAATAGAACATTACTGTAATCGTGGAACTCTGGAAGTAGGCGTTTAAATAGTTCTAAACTGCATTATACTAGTATTAACAAGTTATCTTTCACTTCTAAAGCTATTCATTTTTAAGACCACATCATCACCATATTTAATCATGATATCGATCGATCTACACTGAATGGAACATAACTCTATTCATTACCTTAATTAATCCGATGGAAGTTATTTCGATTATTAACTAATGTCTAATTTGTATCATTTCATATTGCAATGAAATCAAGCAGGATTGCACGAAAATCATATGAACAATAACAATCCTACTAACCCATAATCATGGTCACAACTTCTGACCAACATTACCAGCATTGATCGGTAAACGATGGACTTGTTCCATGACATGCGTGAGGCATTGATTGCTTAGAGAAAGTCAAGGAAACGCAGCATAAAATGACATTATACAATATGGTATTGTAGAATAGTGTACGCTGGTGTAACGGCATATCTGCGGTATCAAGTTCTATTCTTAACACGTTAATAACGATGAAATAATGCCTGTGTTAACTTGATAGTCTATCTGATACTATATCATTATATCAGCTATGATACAATATCCAAGGTCAATATACGCGTATTTAACAAGACAATAATATATTCCCTATAAAAGGAACGATAGAGAATAGTCATAGCTATTGAAGAAAACCATGACAGATACTCGCCATAAAAGAGACGATAGAGAATAGTCATTGCTGTACAAGAGCGATTGCAGTAATATCGCATTTATGGCATGACAGTTTGAAAAGGAGATTGGGATATAGTTAGCATCAATAATATTGGAGCCTTATCCTTATCTATAGTGGATTTCGATTAGGTTATAAAAAACGTCTTAAATGAAATTATATTACTGATGGTATTGCTTAATATTCTTCTCATTAATGATTAGATCGTATGAGAAATACATTACGGAATAATAATGAAACGAGATTGGAAAGTTGCAGTACATATAATAACATTGGAACCATATCGTCATCAGTAACATCACATGCCGCCATCTCAGGTAGATTCCGACCGATTACGCTACAAGATACTTGCAAATGCATCGTATGTATATTTATATATATATATATATATAACTTTCTCGTTACTAATAACGACCAATCCAGAGGTGTTCCTATCAGTATAGGATTTGCAAAATTACTGTGATGATAGAGATTAGCGCCATTGGCTGACAACCTTTCAGGAATGGTAAAGGATATCGTCAGTTATGATATGAAAATAACAAAATAATTTACCATCGCGTTTTTTGAGATTGGCAATACCGTCGACAAAAATAATAATAATAAAACGCATGCAGGGGAGTTTACTCTCAGATTATTCAGTCTAATTATAATTTATTGATGATGATCGGAAGGATTGGAGGCAAGCTTCTACTATTGTTACTTGTAAAGTTATCGAATGACTACTAAGCATAGGCTGAAATGACGATGTCGACTTCCATTGCTACCTTAATTTATTATTAAATATAGTCCATATGCAAGGACACAAACGTGATGAAGAATTTAAGAAAGACAACGCCATGACTAAATTCTGTTCACACTTTAATAATTGTTGATTAATTTTAACTATCGGATGGCGTATCCTTATCCTGTAGTTATACAAACCCCCAAAACAGGAGCAAATAGGCTTTGGCCAATGGACTAGATTTGCATCTAAAAACTATCTACAAGTACAAGCTTTCTCCAGAATAAGACGGTCAAGTAGACAAGGGAATAGACGTACCAGTTTACGTAAAATGATTGAGGCATTGATAGACAAAACTAATTTCTAACACAGCCTAAAGTACCAGTGCTGTCTAGCTGCTGATTACGTCAGTTTACTTGCAGTAGCAAATAAAATCGAGCTCCGACGAATGGCATCGATGATAAGAGTTGCCATGAAAAGTAGAAAGTAAAAGCAAGATTTTCATCCGACATAAGAGCGCTATGAGAAAAAGTACTGCGAGCGGTATGAATGTTCCTGACTACGGTAGTACCATTAACATAGACAGTCTGCCATGCATCAATAGGATCAATATTTCAACTATCAACAAGATATGAATCAATCAAGCTCTGTCACTAACAACCAATGCCAGCAGTAGTACATGTATCTGAAAATAGGGCCGTACTGGTGAAAATAGCCAATAGGTTCTGTAGGAAAAATTCTTCCTTAGAAGAAAGAGACTCTTGATTTTCGACGATCTTGCCTCCACATGCATGAACTAGTCACAAGACTCTTGACAAGCTCGAATTGACAGTCAATCTATGGATTCATTCTTCATTGATGTAGAAGATTATCTCTTTTATACTATTACAGCCATTTATCCCTCGCTACTTGCTGCTCACTATACCGTCCAGTGAAAGAATCAAATCTAACTCTACCCTTTGAAATCAATCTTGGTTAGAGCAATTAAAAATAATTAATTTAATTGAAGGATATGGCTATGCAAACATCACCAGGAAATAACTTCTTGCAAGATGTGGCTAATTCACTGCTATCCATGTTTTCATGACACTTTCATCCAATGAAAATATCGACTCAAGATATAGTAGAAACCTTTCCAACAGTCAATCACTAATTCTCTTGTCAAACTGGATGGCTAACTTAATTCAAGCATGGCTCCATGATGCCTGGGCAAGCGGCCATGATGACGCTGTCAATCAGTGAATTGGCTGGCGCTAGAGGATTTGCTAAAGAGAGTAGATACTTCTCTCCTTGCCAGGAGGTTCATACAAATTCATTGATTTTACCGCATGTTTGCGTATGTTGACTTCCTATCGGTGTTGGATGACTTTAAAGTGATGTGGAGCACCAAGACGATATACTGCTACTTCAGCGTAGACTATTATGTAAAATACATGTCATCCTTACAGGTACTCTTTTGAGTATAGCATCATGGCTTTAACGACATGTATTTTGTTTGTGCTTTTAGTGCGAATGGCATACTCGCAACATTCTCTTTGCAATCATGTTTATATTCGCTAAATTCACGAATGTCATCGAATGTTTGCATATGCTAATTCGATAGTTTAGGAAGTAAAAACAGATGTTGTCTATTCAACTTCATTTGCCAGTATAATAACATCGAGACTCTAAACGACATCTATTTTACGCGTTTTTGGATCCTATACCCTAAGCTTCTCCGACCTCGATGTTCGTGTAATATCATCGATTTTGCATCAGGTTAGCATGGACTGATGGACCTTTGTAGAGGACCGTTTCAAGAAATTTGCAGCAGTGCTTACTATGGTAATTCAGTAATTACTGCAGTAACGTGGACTCGCCAAATTCAGAGTTTAATAGTCGGCACAGATGTCGTCCATAAGCAGCTTTTCCACCATAGCGTCAAGACTTTAAACGACATGTATTGAACCCATTTCGAGATTAATGTATAATCAGTATGGATGTAAAACAGATGTCATCAAAAGGCAGCTTTTCCACCATAGTGTCAACACTTTAAACGACATCTATTTGACACGCTTTTCGATCGCATACCGGCAGCTTCTCCTGCCTTGATGTCAATACAAAATGATTTTGTCTAAGGTTTCACAATAGCGTTGACCTTCAGCATGCAAAATGAATGTCGTCGATAGGTAGCTTTCCTAGTATAGCGTAAACACATTTAGACAACATCTATTTTGCACAGTGGCCATTACCGTAGTCTACACTGTACAGTGTGTGAGTTGATCAGCAAACGTTTCAAACATTAGGATGGCAAACGTGAATAGAAATTGTAGAATATGTTGTAAATAGTAAGCCTCGTACCCTACTATTGCAAAGCAGTCCATGCATGGATTCATGCATCAGTATTTCTAGTACTGCAAAATGATCCAACTTAGGAAAGAAAGAAAACCGGTTGCATCATGCAGTGCACTTGACATTGTGTCTATTGATTGTGCACGGATGTTTCCATTTGCATCATCTCTATTACAGTGGTTGGTGACTTTGAATGCAGAAATGATGACACCCGCTCAATTTCGATGACTGAGTGCTGCGTTGTACTGTACACTGTACAGTACAACGCGAGTAGATTGTGCTTCCTGGTACAAGTCTTTGATCAAGTCACGTACAGTACAGTATACAGTACATTATACTGTACTGTACAGTACAGTACTGTAGGTTATTCTACAGTACTACAATCTAATGTACTGTACAGTGTACAGTACGAGACTCTACTGTACTGTACTGTACAGTACTCCACCGATTTGCAGCACTAGAAATGGTGAGAATCCATCGATGAAACGTCTCAAATCGTTGAAGATTGACTGATGTACAGACGTACACTTCAGAACCGTCCAATCTTTGGAGATTTTACAGACGTACACAGCAGAACAGTCCAACAGTGTACACTGTACAGATTTGAAGCACTGGAAAGGGTGAGAATCCGCCGATGAAACGTCTCAAATGGTTGGAGATTTACAGACGTACAGACGTACACTTCAGAACCGTCCAAAGTGGTCCACTATCGAAATGCACACTGTACAGTGAGTAGTACTGTAAAATAGAGTACAATGTACTGTACAATACAGTACGTGCGTTGCCATAGCGTGCTGGTAGAGATTTTCTCCGTAGTACATGGAATGTAGTGTTTGATACGATACTCTTGGCACCATACAGGACGGTACAACGTCTAATTTATCCACTTCATTAGCCCTCGCGTCAACGGAAAGGTGGCAGCCATATTGTCGTTGCAACGCTATCCAAGATTCCTTTTGGCAATTTATCCAATCTCAAGGCAAAAAATTCAACATGACTGGACTAGTTTGGGGTAGAATAGCCAGAGTACGCCATGTCATTACCTATTCGTTATCACCTTTCGAGCAAAGAAGTATGGCTGGCATTTTGAAGAATGGCATCCCTAACGCCATACGTCGTTTCAGCGAATCCTTCCCTTATGTTGCGCCATCGTTGATCATGGTCGTTTGCGTTTACAAATGGAGCAATAAGAAATTTATTGAATTAAGCAGAAAGAATCCTGCCGATTTTGCCAATGATGAATAAAGAGTTTATTGCCTACTACTATTTTATTATTTTTGAAACAAGAACATTTCAACGTCAGTCATGACTCAATGGCCATTTTGCTAACGCTAACAGTTCTACAAGGTTGGAAAGACTCTATTCTCTTTTCCAGTTGGCTGTATCTTATGAAGAAATAAATAACTTGGCAATCTATGATAGGTTAGAATATCATTGGGTAATCTTGCGGATGACTATACTGGAAGAACAGATTGACATTGTACATCGACTCTATTTTGTGCTTGTTATTTTGTTCATTAGTAGCATGTTAACGTGGCTCTTATAGCTGGACTAACCATATCTGGATACGAATGCCATTTTTTCCGCATAATTCATGCATAATGTTGCGTTATCTGTATTGCAAATAATAGCTGTTAAATGGATTAATAAATAACATGAATCTTATGGACAGTTTACCTTTCACTCGATGACTAGCAGTTACAGTCAGCCTAGAAGCAGTTAAAAAACATTCGCTGCGACGATACTGCCAGACCTTGACCAACATCTCACGAGTGACTGGTCTTGTACAGGTCTAATGACCAGAGAAAGAGCAACGTTCAAGCTCTAGAAAGATGTCTATTCTTTAATTAACCCCTTCAACAGTTGGCAATAGTATCAATAAAATCGACTATGGGTTTGACCCCATAACAGCAACACATGGAGATATCCAAGTACTATAGAATATTGTTGGTGGATAACTGTATATAACTACAGTATTCCCGAGTCTATGATAAGTCTTGAACGATATTTTATTATCTCTTTGCTTTTATTTGATTGATTACAAAGTAAGAAGTCTCTACAATATTGGCCCATTAGTAGTCCATTCCTGACAATTGATAGTAGAGAACAGAGTGACATTAAATCGAGTCAAAAATCAGCGATGGACCTTACAGTACAACAACAGTTTATTAGGATATCGACAATACCGATGGTGCATTACTGTATATCACTATTCTAAAGTTTGTGATAGCTACGAACTCTGTCTTATATCTCTCCACTTATTTGATCAAGTGCATGCGATAAGTCTTAGCAAATCAGGTCAAAAGCGGAATAGGTCAATTCCTCTCTACTGTTGAATAATTGTATTATAATAATATGCCTGCGATAGTGCACATACTGTAGATGCTTCAAAATACAAGAAATACACATACGCCTATGTAGAATCAACTGCTATGACGGTAATTTGATCATCAATAAAAATACTATAGTTTATAATGTAATATCGTATTCCATGCTGCTATGAAAAGGTACATACTGTACACTTTCTTCCACTCTGACAGCAGGTATTCCTCTTTTGAACATGACGTATGAATTTTTAGCAGCTTACACTTACTCACTTGGACGAAATATGAGCAAAATCGTATAAAATTGACGATTATTGTATAGTGTTTATTAGCCTCATAGCATTAACTGTTAATCATATAAGATAGCAATCATCTAGTACTTCACAAATCCATCCAACCAAGCAAGCAGAATCAAACGATTGTTTGGTGTATAGTTATTATCAGTTCCATATTATATTATACTGCTCGCAGAGTAGATACCCTATATACTGTATATTTAATGTTAAATTGTTTACTAGCTTAGGAGTAAGATAACTATTATGCGTGATCATTACAACAATATCTTCGATAATTAATCAACATGCATGTTACGCCTTTGATTTGATTTTATCCAATTTTTACTATCTAACAGCAGTCATATCAACTAGAACATCATTTATTGCTTGTAATATCACACCAAAAAAATGAATCATTGGATTAGTAAATGACTATAGAGAAGATAGACAAAAGTTAGAACTAGGCTAACTTATACGTAGATATCTTTTTTGTAATTTATATCTACTTTCTCTGTATAGCTATAGTCTAAAGACTCTATATAACTGTGTAGCGATAGTATAGAGTCCCTAGATTAGCGATCATTTCTATAAGAATTGCAACTAGGAATCACTCTCATAGTACTGTATACTATCGATAGAGAATACAACAAACATTAATGAAGCTACATTATAGAATATTATTACTTCTCAAAAAAACCTCATGCCAGTAAATGCACGGATAAATTAATACTACATTGCTCTAACTACGTAACTACAGATACCGATAACTAGAACTAGCATTTTGTATACGAATACACAATATGCGCCTACATCTACAGATGGTATGATGAATCTGTTATGCATAGCCAATCTATGACTTGGAATCTATCGATGCAGAACTTTGAATTCTTGCAGGCGGCGATGAAATTGTTAAACTACTATTAGATTTAGATGATTGATTTAAACTGGACAATGATCCAAAAAATGACCATTTTCTCCTGTCCATTTTACACCAAGGACTACCTTGTTTGCACCAACCGGGTAATCGATCAGTAAAATTGCTACTAGTAAAAGTATAGAGGAATGGATTGATAGCGGAGTTGATTGGTAATGCAAAGACAGCAACATAAGGTAAGATGGTAAATCGTAAGATAACGCTAAAGCCGCTATTTAAGTAAGAATGGGCTTCTCCTCGTTTAATCTGAAAGATAGAAAGCCAAAACACAAAATAAAATGGTAGCCAACATACAATATCCGTGATGCAGATTAAAAAAAGTCGAATAGCCATACGATGCTCTTGATTTGTTTTCTGATTTCGACGTACTGATCGGCCAGATTGCTTTACTTTCATAAATAAGCGTATATAGAGAATAGTCACAATGATCCACATGATGAATGTTAAAAATATATAGCTCGGTAGCCACAGGTAAAAGAATTTATGAGATAAATTGATAGGCACACAAACTGGACTATCACCATAAACAGTTTGAGTGTAAGGTTTATTTATACTATATACAATCGGACCTGCGATATAACCGATACTAATGACCCATGCTAAACCTAGCGTTTTCTTAGTGGTTGCCATATCTAAACGCTTATCAGAAAATGGATAGACGATGCAAATGTAGCGATCAATACCAATCAATAACATCATAAAGACAGACATAAAGCTGGATAACGACATTAGGAAGCTAGCTAATAAACACATAGGATGCTTATTCCAGTAAACGGAATAAATGCCATAGTCATGGCGAGTTAACATATCAGCAATAGCTATAATTAAAAGATAAAGTCCCATAAGGAAATCAGCGAAAGCAAGATGGCTAACCACTAATTTGGGTACAGGATGACCAGCTTTACTATCGCGACGATATAAAAGAATAACCAAAGCATTACCAATGACTGCTAGAATGGAAACAATCCAGGTAAAGATGCGTAAAGATGGATTAGCAAGTAAATCATGGCAATTAGATATTTTATTACGACTATTAAATTCTGTCACTGAGCATTCTTTAATTTTAGCGGGGACGATACAACAGAAATATCCCCGATCGGCAGTCCTAAAAGATTGTAGAAATTAGCCTTGCATTACTCAAGATACAAATATTCAGGCATAAACAATCACCAAGGCTAGTTTACAGAATTGATGCACTGTTAAAAGATTGTAACAAGTACACTCACTCGCGTTAACAATAAAATTTATTTACTACATTATTTGATATAGCATCGTTGTGGTAGCCAAGATTTATAATTTAAATGATCAATTAAGCGTATATTATTAATCAACATAGGCGATGTCTAGGCGAAAAATAGAGCTTATGCCACCATCTATTGTTTAGAATTATTATACATTAACATTTGTAACGAGGAAGTTAAATTGCAACTAATAAATAACAGACTACTTGCCTACTGTCAGGTTTATCCTTACGACATCGAACTAACGTACGACTAATCACTGACGACCTTCACCAGAAAATTGTCGTAAGCTACTTATTACTTTAGACAAAACTGAATCTAAACTTTGGAATTTGGGCAATTTATAAAGGGTTTACATAGATAATATTTTTAAAACTGATTATAATGTCATAGATAACGTTATCATCAACAAACCTCAAAGTACGCTATCTTACTAAAATAAAGTAAGCATTTGTCATCGAAAATCACTTCAAGTATAAGATATATATCAATCACCTAACGCTATAAACCTATAAAGGTGCATCCAACAATATCTTATGCCAGCATTAGCGTAAAAGATAAATTATAACTTACAGCTTGTATAAATATGTTGGTCCATAGAATGAATCTGTTATAACTTGATCAAGTTGATTATTTTGCAGATTTCTAATTAAAGATCCGAAAAGGTAGCCGATTATTTTTATAAACATTATATCCTGATAACGATAATATTTAAATTAAAGTCAATTTTGGATAGATGCGAGATTTTCTTGAGACTAGGGTGATTGATACAAACTTGCAAATAACAGATATACATGCAAATATATTTGATAAGATAATGAGCCATGTAGTTGCCGAAAATTGTTCGACATTAGAAATTAAATTGAACGCACATCAGTTATAGAATCGATTTAGTTTGGATAATTTCTTGGATAGTTATCAAATATTCAGATAGCAGCGAATCAATTATCGGTTAGACTAGATAGCTATATGATAATATTATTTGCACAGTAGGCTTAGATTTTAGACTAGAAGTATATTTTCGTGATCGGTTATATGTTGTATTTTCTGAATGTAAGTCTTTCGATAGCATACTATTAATAAATTAACATATATTACTTAAATATAAGCCAGAGTTAAACTTGTTTCTAAATAATAAAATTCTGTCATAACTTAATAATAATTTAGTAACAATGCACAACTTATTAGATGTACGGATTGAAGGAGTAGTTATATCATTTTGTAACCAACGAGAGAATAAATTTTCTACATATTTATACTTCCCAAATTTCTGTTAATAACATAAAATTGTCTTAAATATTGGCTCGATGGATAAGGTTTATAATAATTCAACTCACATGAAGCGTAATTCAGAAGTATAAATAAAGCAAAATGGTTTGAGTGTGGTAATATGGTTGTTGGAAATATCTCTATAAAAAATTAAATATAAAAATAATTATGATCCTAGATTATCGATCGCCAGTATCGTATTTAAAAGATACTAGTTATACAAGACTAATACTTTTATTTCTAGAATCCTTACAAATATAATATATGAGGCATATATTTCAAAATTGCGAGTTCACAAATATCTGTTATTAAGTTACTGCCTAAATTGCTAAATAAGTGAGAACAAAATATAATCAGCTTCAATGAATTTGTGCAGGCGGAGAATCATCTTCAATCAGTTTAAAGTTTACGAAGTTTAACGCTCAATCAATAAACAAAACATGGCATACAGGGAATTAGCAGCTAAAAAGTGTTCCTTTCGTTCGTTTATAATTCCAGTCAAAGAATTATTAAATACATCTCTAAAATTCAAAGCAGATAGAGTAATTGGAATGTAAATTTATTTTCTTGGCCAAAATTTATTTCATGCTTTACAAT